ACATTTTCATACAACATGGTCTACAAACAATGCACATCGTAAGGCCTTTTCTGTAGTATATAATTTTCCTGAATGAGTACAGTTGCAATGACCGGTCTCCTAAATCTTTTATACAGCCTGGATAGCGAAACTTGAGACAAGCGTGTCGGCGTTAGTATTCGTACAGCTGTTTGTACAGTGGACAACAATAGCAGCACCAGCACGAAAGCGCAATCAGCACGGCAGTGAGTATCACTCCAGCAATTATAACGGCTACGACGGCACCGGTCCTGAAAATTCGCGTATCGTTAGCGGCAAACTTCGAAACTGAGCCTGCAAAAATTACGGTATTGCGAAAGGACAGCACGATGGCTTCCACGTTCCCATGTACGGCCACACGCAGCACCAGTTATAGTTGTCCCAATCAGATGGCTGAGGGCAGTACGACAAGTAGCCTGAAAATAAACTAGCTCGAACTAGCCGATAACAGCATGAACATACCATAGCCAGAAGGACACCACCATATCTTTCGGTTACCTAACCAGCCCTCGATATAGTTCCTCGAGGGATCGTTCAGTTCTTGTGAAGTCGACTCTTTTACTATAACGAAAAATAGCTCATTAGTGAGGTGAGCGTAAGCACAACAAAATCAGTTTTAAACATGACGAAACAAATGACTGCAAACTACCGAAAAATTCATGACCAACTGTCCCTACAATTATCAGCTCGAGTAGGTGAGTACAGAACGATTGTGAAAGACTGAACGCTAAATAAAAGTTGTTGTTTCTTTCATGCGCCCTGCTTTTATTGTCCAGCCGGCCGGCTATGGCTGTTTTGTTCATTGTTAGCATGGTTTGAAATACTTCTGTAGTCCACAGATTCTTGTTTTGTTTTAATTTGCTAAATAAAACTTATTTACAGTATATTTAAGGTACTACAGTAGATTTGAAATTTGCAGTTATATTTTTCCTTCGAGTACAAATAACCGAAATGAGATTTCTGAGAAAATTGCTCTATCGCCAGGGAAACCTCCAAGCCGAAACGTCACTTCTGACACTACTATGATTGAAAGATAGCAACAGAGATGGTCTGAACAGGTTCTGCGGAGGATGCCACCACAAAGGACGCCAAAGCAGCTACTTGATCCTCTTTTGATCAGCCGAAGACGTCGACGAACTTGGCGCCAGAATCTCGATACCTAAGGTCGAAAAGCACATCCTCGAGGAAGATCGAACACGATGACGATGCTCTCTGGTCCGGCTGCTCTGCCGCCACAAAGGACAAGCAATCCCTGATGGAAAAAACGATATACTTTTTCTCTGCTGAAAACGAACTACCCCCCATCTTTCTTCAAACTCGAACACTATTCTGACTAAGCGGACCAACAACTGTGTGAGGTTCCGTTATGTAAGGTGAATTTCAAGCAAGCAAAAGCACCTTTTAGCCGATCTGGAAGGACGTGATGCCAGCGCGTGTATGTGAAAGAATAGCTGCACATGAAAATGACGGCATTTGTCAAGTTCTACTAGTCATTCATGTGTACGGCGGTTACTCGTCAAGAAGAGAACAAGTACTGAAAAACTCGAGGTGTACTGTCGTATGGGTCAGTTGCGATAATTCAGAAGGTCGCAGTGGTGCGACAGCTTCAGTAAAGTACTGACCGTGATCAAAAGACTTGAGATTTGGTTTACACAACTTTGTTTAGAAGATCGCCGAAAAGTTATAAATGGACCGTTCGATGAGCTACAAGATTTAGGGGTTATAGTGTGGCTGAAATGAATGAACGAACGAACGCGTAGAAGGAAGAAGGAACTATTATACGAATCAATGAATCCAGTAGTTTTCACAATCGCTGAGCATTGATAAAGGACACTGTACGCAAAACGCATAAGTAATGGTCGATCACTTCAATTTATGCCGAGGTACTCTCTCTGACCTACAAGCAAGCTCAACCTAATGAACAACAAAGCCAGTTAATGCAGTCAGTCGTGACTCTGCTCTGACCTCGTCGCTGTTTCGTACTAGCTATCGCCTAGTTGCTGCTACCAACCGAGAACTGGCGTTTTCTACCGCTGTGTCGCTTTACGACGCTGAGGTGAAACAAAGCGTCCGTACACGTCTGTCAAGAAAAGCTAGCGAAGCACTGAACATTAATGAGTCATCAGCGGTCCTGCGAACCATCGCCTGCGTCTCCG